ACATCGATGCTAACGATCTCAGGAGTGCAGAAGGGCGCGTAAATCGCAAAGTGCACTGCTTTGGTCACGAAAGTGACTTCAAAAGGATCCGCTCGGGAACCAAGGGGCAACACTGTGTGACTGCCCCCCTCCGAGGGTTTCGCATGAACGGTGACAACCATACCTGACACAACTTGCACCTGCGGTTCGGCAGAGTCGCAGCCATGAATGCACACCTCAAAACCTGTCGGGAGATGCATGTCGATCAGGGCGAGGAAAAGACTGGCTGGTTGGGATCCAACCGGGCACTGTGCGACAAAGATGCCGCAACTCAGAGTGCGGGCGTCCACGAACACTGGAACCTTGGTATCGGATCCGTCTTCATTGTGCGCGCCCTTGGCGACGGCGCCTAAGATGCCGCCGACAGCGCGGCCTCCTTGGAAGACCGAAGCAGCAAAAGTGCCGTCGGAGGGCTCTACAAAAAGAATATTATCTTTTGTCTCGCCAATCCGGCGGAGAATACCCTCCTGCAGAGCAACTGTGTCAGCAGCGTCATGCGTGACAACAGACATAGAATTCTCGCAGAGGGTGAGCCACGAGGGAGGGCCAGCCCCGAGAAGGGAGGGGGGCACTTCTCTAGGTCTGAAGTCTTCAGACATGAGCACACTGACAATGTCTGTGGCTAAGGATGGGACACCGCTGAAAGGAATGAACCTAAGCACCGAACCTGATAGAACCCTAAGTGTGCCCTCCTGGCGCTCAGGATCATCGTCGAGATAAACAGCCCATGGTTCAAGCCCGTATTGTTCTGCAACCTGTTCGAGAACATGTGACTCAATCACCACTGGCATAAAGGCTGCAAAAACAACTTCATGGAAAGCGGAGAGGTCGACGACAACAACTCGCTGTCCAGAGTAAGCGACCCATTTGGGAATCTGCACAAAGGCGAGAGAATCCTCATTAGGTTGCACTGATGTTGGCAGGATGATGCTTTGTTCAAGGTGTACATCCTGTGTCATCCCAGCTCGTACCGCTAGGCACAAAGCGGATTCATCAACATGAACTGGCTGCCTGATTTGCACCACAACAGTACGGAATCCGGCCTGAAGGACAGCAGCTTGCACATAAATGTCTTCTTCAGTTGTAGTGTCCTCTGTGCGGGGCCACCTGGGGACATCTGTCCTCGAGCTCCCAAGGTAGGGGGCCGTGCTCAGAAGCAACAGGAAGCGAAGCGTCGACCGGCTGCATGCATTGAACACAACACGGGAGGCCGGCAAGACCCAACAAAGTTCGCAGCAGCCTAGTGAGCCTGCATCGCCCAGTCTGGGTCGACCTTGCGCGAGGAGCATATCGGACAGCTCGCGGCAGCCGCCAATTTGTGTGCACCTGCAGGGAAGGCGAGAAGGAGCGAAAACCCAATACGGCTTGGGGGGGTACCCCGGAAGTCGGGAGTTGGGTGAGCCTGCTTAGCGGCGAGTTATGCCTAGGAAGATGCCAAAGCAAAAGCTTGCAGAGAGCAAGGAAGAGAAGACCCAGGATGCTCCTTGCAAGTGGCACAACGAAAGAGGCAACAGCCTGCATAAGCGAGACTCCATAACCAGGAGGAGGGAAGAGGACTAGGGTCCCAAAAGGGAGAGGGCTAAACCCTAGGTGGCCAGCACATGGCCATCGGGATGCAACATGGCGCGTGGCTCCTGCCCCTGAGCTACCGATGCAGGTATTTAGCGCCCACGGCCATGGTGTTGGGTTTTCAAATTGCAGACTAGGGCCTGTTGGGATAGGGGCCCAATGCGGCGGGGGGTCCGATGGCACACTCCCAAAAGAAGAGGCACGATCAGACCCAGAGGAGACAGGGGAAAGCCCAGGACCCCCACCACAAACCCAGTGGTGGGTGATCCTGAACACCCCAAAGCGACGTGGAAAACGGACCAAGATCTCCGAAAAGGAGCACAGCGAGGGATGCGCGCTGTGGTGGCCAGAATTCCAAAGGCAAGCCTGACAAGCCTGACAAAGGGAGGAGCCCGCGCAGAGGAAGGCCTGTCGTATCGGTACCCTAGAAGACAAAACTGTACAGCAACATAGCTGTAGGTAGGACTGCGTTGAGCCCAGGCAAGCAGTAGTATACTTACAGGTGTGACACCGCGCTGCTCCGTGGTATATCATGGCGCACACTGTCGAACCAAGGTGTTCACCAGGGGGTAACATTGACCCAGGCAGCTTCCCCAATGAAGCTGCGAGGATACCAGGACCCCATAGTGCACCAAGGTCCGAGAGTGCCCGCCATAACGCCCAGGAGCGGCGCTTGCCGCGGCTCAAGTGCCCTCGCCTTCGCCCTCGTTGGAATCGTCCTCCACGAAGTTCACTGCCCTCGGATCGGTTGGGCCTGGATGCTGGTTCCCCACTGTAGGAAAGACAGGGGGAGGAGGCGGACGCTCCAAAGGCGGTCAAAAGGAGCGAGAGCATGTCTGCGTGTGGCTCTGTCCTGGTTGGGACTTGGTCCATAGGTGGCTCCTGCCCCGCCACGTGCCTCTTCGCGAGTCCCAAGGTGGAGGGGATCCCACATTCTGCCCGCAGCGGTGTCGGCTGGCAAGCCGGATGGCTCGCCCCGGCCCCCATTCCCACCAGGCATGGCAGGGATAGCACCCGGTGCCAAGCCAGGAGGCGTCCCAGCAGAAAAACCCGGTGCCGGACTGGCCATGTAAGGATCCAGGAGTGCAGGCGAACCACCACCCGTGTACAGTCCTCCGAATTGCGGTGTGGGAGCCTCTGTCGTGACTGCCACGCCACCACTTCGAGCGGGTGGTGTCATAGCCGGCCCTGTCCGACGCACGGGTGTCACAGTACTCCTGGCACTTAGTGCTCTCTGCAGAACACCATCCATAATCGTTCGTGCTTCTTGGTTCCATGCTGCCATAGTGTTGTTCCACTCGGCATCGGCGTCCTCCTCGACGTCCATAACAGCCGTTTCGGCAGCTGTTCCATCCATGGATGCCATGAAAGTGGCTTGGAGGTGATCCCGAGCTTGCTCTTGTGCTGAAAGGGCCTCTTGGATGTCCTTGGCGGACCTTTCCATCTCGGAGGCAAATTGCCTCTTCTCGCGTAGCCATGCAGCCTTCATATCTTCCTCCCAGGCTGCCATCTGCTTCTCGCGCTTCTCTCTGTCCGCGTAGAGCTTGGCAACCTTGGTCTCGGCCTTGCGTGCCATGTTCAGTGCGTGCTGAACCCTCGGAACAAGGTCTCCAGTAGGTCTCGGGTCCGCAGCTGGCGCTGCCTTGGGCCGAGAAGTCTCCTCTTGCTCCACGGTCTTCGAAGCATAACCAGGTATCTCTCGGCCCTTGGCGGACCCCTTCTTGGACTCCTTGTCTTTCCCCCGCCAGTGACCTGGTGGGGAATAGGCACCAGGCCATATACCCCATGATCGGCCACCGCCATCGTCCCAGCCGTGGCCATGATGGTCTCCGCGCCATCCCTGGTCGCGATTGCCTTTCCTGCCCATAGGAGGAGCAGGCTTCGGGGCAGAGTGGTGACGACGAAGGCGAAGGAGATCGGGGAGCCGCACAGGATGGCCGAGCCTTTTTGAGGCACGGGTGCGCTTCCTCGCTTTAGAGCGAGAAGCTCTGGCTCTGCGATGCCACGCGGGGCTGCGCCGATGCAGACCGATGGCTCGAGCTAGGCGTGCTACGAGAGCACTGGGGCCTTCAGCTATCTGACCGCTCTTGGTCAGTTTTCTGAGCCCTTATGTGTATATATATATATATATATCTAGCTATATACCTATAAATAAATAAATACATATATATATATATATATAGATAGATGGATAGATATACAACTGGTACATCGAGTCAACTGCATGGTACATACATGACTCCATGACTCTATCTCACTGTGAGTCTATGACTTTACGACTCCTTGACTCTATGGCTCTTGACTGTATGTGACACTCTGACTCTGTGACTCTGTGCTTTTGACTCTGTGACTTTACGATCCTATACACTGGATTCTATCACATAGCCCCACACTCTTCGCTGATGGTGCTTTCGGGCCAATTGTCTTCTAGTTTTAGGGTTTAGGCTTATATAGGTCTTATGTTTAGGATTCAGGGTTTAGGGTCAGAGTCTTAGGGCTCTCAGATTTCCCTTACTATAGGGACCCCCCAAAATAAGGTACCCCGAAGTTTCAGAAACTCCCATACGTATCTGGGTTACGTAGTGTAGGGTTGAGAGCCTTGTAAAATTGTGTGTTTTGCAAACCAGGTCGTGTGGTATGCTACAGAAACTCGACCTTGCTTTCCATGCAGCACGGATGTCAAGGCAACGTTCAGTAAGGGCAAGGTTTGTGGAATTGGGTCCGCAGCCGTATAACTATAACTTAGCTGACTGCTGAACCCCTGCTAAAAGTTAAACTTTTCGCCTCCTTACTATAGCTCATACAGAAACCCAAAAATTAAAGGGTAAAGCCCTAAGAGCCAACCAGAAGAACGCCAAGATAAACTCTAAACCCTAAACTTAAGCCCTGGGGGGGGGGGCTGGAGTCGACTCTCCCAGCATACTATCAACTCCAAACACTTCGCAGATAATCCACGACCTCTGCTTATGCTCGACACCCTGTCTATGAAAAAAGAGGATAGTGAACAGATGGTCAGCCTGATAGATACCAGCAAATCCTACTACCTGCAGCAACGCAACTAGGGCTTGAATGCTATCATACATGTACGAGCGAATGCAAGCACCGCGCAAGACGCACGCACACACCAAAAATAGCTAAACAAGCATAGGACACTTGCCGCCGGAGAGCCAGAAAAAGCACAAAGCTACGTTTGGAGAAACGATGGCCCCATGGCAGCCGTTTCTGAACGCCCCAAATTCTGAAGAACCGTAAAACAAGTTTTGAACAGCGCCATCACCACAAAAAACAGAAAACCTTGTAAAACCCTATTCTATACAAGCCTGTAGGATCCATATAACACCCTATCGCACCCCATATAAGCCCTACAAGACCAGAAAAAACCTAGTCCGGTCCTGCACGGAGTCCACATCCAGCCGATGGCGTCGCTGGAGGTCGGCCATGGCCTGCTAAGACGTGACTTTAGCCAAATAGGAGGTTTAAAGCGTTGGGGGTTTAAGGGGGTTGGGATAAGGGTTCAGAAGTTTAGGGAGACGTGACCTAACTAAGCAATACGAGGCCTTAGTATTCAGAACAGGGGTTCTTTTTCAATATCGGCTAAATTTCATATGGCCTTGAGAGACTAGCTTTCCTTTGTTTTCTTTTCAAGGCTGCTTAAGAAGGGTCTATGGGGGTTACTATAAAGGTTTGTGATTGTGTGACCTTACGAAGCAGGGTGTTATAGGGAGCGTTTGGGGCTTAGGGGTTTCGGGTTGAGGGTGTATATACATAGCACCTTATTGGTCGCCTAACCATAAACCCCATCGCCAAAGTGAACGTGCCTCGCTCTGGGATCGCAGGTCCTGCTCTCGTAGACCATCGTCGGGTTTAGGCTCTTGTTTCGCCTACCTTTGGTTAGTAGGGAATGCAAGAATGGTAGTAATAGTAGGAAGAATGGTAGTAATAGTAGTTATACTTGTACCCCATTCCTCCATTCCCTACTAACCACAGGAGGTCTGTCAGGTACAGGCATGGAGTTTGCGCTTTGCTGGCGTCGAAGAGGTGTTGTGTTTCGGGGTCTGGGGGTTGGACCCCAAATGCAATAAGCCAAAAAACACCCCAAAAACGCTAAACAACCAAAATCCCAAACCCCTAAAGCTCTTATGACCCTACACAGCCCAACGATCTCTGCTCGAGAGTTCAGATCTGCACTGAAGAAGGCAGCCTAGGCTTACTCTGAACCCTAAGCTCTAAGCCCTAGACCCTAAACCGTTTGGTGCTCCCGTCCAGTTTGAGGGTCTGGATTTCAGGGCGTAGGATTGGGTTGTAGGGCTTGGGTTCAGAGGGTTTGGGCTTCGGGATTGGGGCTTAGGGCCGGGGCTTTGGATGGTTTGGGCTTGAAGGTGAGGACCTACTTGGGTCCGAACTCTTTTCTGAGAATCCTATAGCTTTCCTCTACAAGCCCAAGCCTAAAGCGACAACCCGACAACCCTGAACCCTAAAACCATGAGGGAAGCCTGATTGAACCTGTGTAGAGCCTTCATAGGACCTACTTGGCCCTTCTAGAAACCTGAAATCCTAACCTCACGGCTCCTTGGCGGCACTGGCGGAGATCTCGTCACGCAGCTTGCACAGTTGGTCCTCTGACATGTGTGTCGCCAAGGCTCCCAATCCCATAGCACGACAATTGACGCCACCCTCAACCCTAACCTTACCTTAACCCTGAATAACCTACCTTGTTAGGGTTCCTTATTATGATTTCCTTATATATGTCCTCAAAAAGGTAGGTTATTCCGGGTTAAGGTAGACCTACAGTAACCCTTCTAAAAGGCCGCTCAACATGCCTCGAAGTCGGACTGCTGTGCAGCACTGGCGGTGCGAGTCTCCTTCTGCCGGGGCATTTGGACTCTGGCTACTTTGGGGTTTTAGCGGTTCCTCTAAGGGTTCCCGTCAAGGTCCTGTATAAGGTTTGTGTTAGGGGGTTCTGTGAGGGCTTAGGGCTTAGGGTCTTGGGCTGGGGTTTAAGGCTTATAGGCTCATAGGGATTAGGATTTGGGGTTGTTGAGGGCTCAAGGTTCAGGGTTGAGCGTTTGCCTGTGGCTCTAAACCCTACCTAGGTTCCTGAGTGATCCCTTAGCAATAAGGGTATACTTTTTCTTGACATTTGGCTTTAATAAGGAACCCAAGCAGAAAAGGGCAAAAGAGTACTACTCAGGAGCCTAGCTACAAAAAGTAAGCCCTAAACAACACTCCAGTGGTCGACATTATCCACTTCGTACATAATCAGAGAAAAGTAGCTGGATCCATCACCCTGCCAAATCTAGTCTTGGCTGCCTCTTTGTTTCGTGGGCCTTGACCAAATTTGTGGCAATGACACAAGCCTGTTTGGCTTTGCAATGCTTCCATTTGTGATGGAGCCTCCAATTCTTTGGTTTGCCAGCAGAGCCGTCAGATATTGCATCTATGATGCGAGCCACAGCTCAGGCCACCGGATGAGCATCAGGATCGGCTGCAGACGTGGATCACCACACTGCAGTCAGGGTGCGAAAAGGAACACAGGAAGTGCTACAGTTTTACATAAAGCGCCAATTGCAGACTTGGTGCTCCATCACATGATGAAGATGAGGCTCGAGACGCAGCATGGGTTTCACAACGCCCCTCGAATACGACAGTGCTCCAGCCACGAAGGGCTTGCAATCCAGCCCCCCAGAGCTGGAGGTGCAAAGAGCCATTCACTCACAGCTGTCAAGCTCTGGCCCCCGATCTCGAAATCGTTTAGGCTTTGGGGGGGCTACATCCCAACAGCCACAAAACCTAATAATTAGTATCCTCATAAGAACGATCGCCTTGCTGTTTTGATTCCTAGAGACCCCCCCAAACATCATGGAACCCCCGATAGAATCCTTAAACCCTCCGGCCACAAAGCAGCTGTCGGCCACTCCTCCTTCAGGCGGGCGACCACCCCCCGCAGCTCCTCCAGATGGGTCAGGTCAAGGCTCAGGATAGATTTTAGGCTTCAAGGGTTTAGGTTTCAGGGTTTAGGGTTTAGGTTTCAGGGTTTAGATTTTAGGCTTCAAGGGTTTAGGTTTCAAGGTTTAGGGTTAGGGGTTTAGGTTTCAGGGCTTAGGTTTCAGGGTTGCAGGGGTTTAGGTTTCAGGATTTGGTGGTTTAGGTTTCAGGCTGCCTGTTGGGAGGGTTCTATCAAGCTTGTGTAGGGGTTCTATGGGGGTTCAGGCTGTGGATTTTGGGGTTTGGAGCCTCTGGTATGGGGTACACAGGCTTGAGCTTAGCAGTGTTCTTGTTTAGGGTTGGGGTGAGGTTCTATTGCAGTGCCATGAGGTGAGGCTTTCTTAACTAGCTTTCAACTCTAAACCCTAAACCCTACACTGGATACGAATGTACAAAACAAGGCTATAGGATGCCAACGGACATTCCACCAAATCAAAGCGAAGGCAAACCTCCAAGTCTCAATGTCGCTTCCACAGATCCCAAACAGGAGCACGTCAGTGGGAGGCAGACATGCATGCGACTGTCGTGCGAAGGCGAGGCGTGGCAGGACCACGACTTCCACTGTCGTGAAATTCCGAAACCCAAACTCTAAAGGGAACTCCAGAAAGTTGGAATATGGTTTCAGGGTAGGATACCTTATAATCTACCATAAAGGGTTTAGGATAATCATATTCCAACTTTCTGGCTTTTACTTTAAACCCGACGAAAGCCCTAGAGTCCCTAGAATCTCCAGGGGCAGCGATGTGAGCATAGGACTGTACGGAGACCGGTTTCCACCCAAAGACAGCTGGAGATGGGAACGGAGCCCTGGAGGAAGCAGCTGCAGTGGCACGATGGAAAGAACGCGAGTGCTGGCGAAAATTCCACCGTGATACGGCAGTCGGCACCACCGGGCGGCTCGCGTGGACAGTGACCTGAATCCCCTGACATGGAGCGCAGGAAAAAGCACCGTGTTGCCACGCTGCTTCGTAGAACAACCGATAATACTAAACATTCTGAAAGAGGCTTCTGAAGATTCCTTCGAAGCCTCTTCAGAAAGGTGCACTTACTACATGACACGAAGACGGGCCTCCAGCTGGCTTTCTACTCGTTCGGCCTTCTGTCGCCCTGCCAAGCAGGCATTTTTAAGATCCAGGTCGATCTGAATTCTAAGAGGTCTTATATGGTTTCCGAAAATTAGGGTACGTACCTTAGGTACTATATTAAGCTCCCCTATTTATTTTCGGAAACTCCCATATGTTACATTTGACATAAGCAATGAGGGTCTTGTCACTTGTAGGGTTTGGGGGTTTTAGGGATTTAGGTACAGTAATTGCAATTTTCGCATCCCGTTCAACTCATAATCAGGAACAAAAGGCCGCGCTCAGAGGACCGTGGGTTTCCTGCCAGGCCTTGGTAGGTTCTGTGTAAAGGCCATGTTGGGTTGTTGTTTGAGGTTTGGGTTGTTCCCCGCATTGCATGTCTTCTGGCGCTGAGTTTCAGAAACCTGGGTGTGGATCTAAGGGTTGTAAGGTTATGAAATACAAAGTTATGCACCCTAATGAATTGGGACTTAATCAAAACCGTGCCCAATGCAACAAACCCTACCTATAGTCTCCATTGTAGTTCCGTTTCTGGCCTTACCAATCAAAAGCTTAGGGTATGGTTTGGGTTTAGTGACAAACAAGAATGAGCGAGCTCCCATACCCTTTGATAAAAGGGCAAAAGGGTGGACCTTGACAGACACCACACCCTCAAAACTCTACGACCCAAACACTGTCAGGATCATACGGTTCCCATCCCCATACCCGAACACTCACTACACCCGACATCCGCAGACCCTGCGCAAGCCCCGCAACAACGACAAGAGCCCATATAGCCGTATGGTACTATAGAAACTCGATAATGTCCTACAGACACCCTTCGGAAGCCGTGTGGAAACCCTATAAAACCCTACAAGACCCCTTGAAGACCAGCCCTCCACCTGTCGCAGACTCTGCCAGCACCGCGTCGAGACGGCGCGCACCCTCCTCAGACTGCGTCTGCAAGCCTTCGGAAGCAGGCAGGAAACAGGAGAAAAAGGGCAGCAAGACAGAGTCAGGGAAAGAAAGCCTAAATCCTAAATCCTGAACCCTGAACCCTATGCAATTCATGGAAACGAAATCATGTTCAATATGGTTGGGGTACATGAAGCTATAATTAAGCAGCACAGTGAGCGAACATGACACGCTTTTCTCGATCTTTGCGGATGTGTCAATTGAAACACCCCAAAAACTTTCAACCGAAGTGACTACTTGCAACAAACCCACTGGGCCATGCAGACACCCTTTAAGCAACTGAAGCCCCGAAGCCACCAACTATAGAACCTCGAAGTCCCGAGAAACAAACCTGCAAACAGTCATTGAAACCGTGCAACATCATTAACATCTCACCTTCGAACACCATAACAAGCCGTGCTAAACCCCCTATAACACTTCATAAAACCTCCTAAGACCTACAAAGATACTTTCTTGGAGACCCATGCAAAGCCTCTGAAATCGCATATCGAAGTCCTCAAAACAGCGGATCCAAAACCCTACAAACCTCGTACAACTCTCTCAGAAACACTAAACCCTAAACTGCCCTAAACCCTAAACAAAGAAACCCTCTGTGCCACCTCGCAGTCGGCCCAGCTCACTTCGGGTGCTGCGGGTCAGCTCGTCCATCTGGCCCTGCCTAGGATTTCGGGTGTAAGAGTTTCTTTTACAGGTTCTAGAAAGGTTCTGAGAGTTTCTGTTTAAGAGTTTCTGTTACGGGTTCTAGAAGGGTTCTTTATAAGTATATATTTCTAAAGTCGCGTTTGAGCATTCGAACAAAAGGGCCTTATCGGGGTTCGATTGTCCTGGCCTAGGGTTCGAGGTATAGGATTTAGGAGCCGCCTGGAAACATTCATCAAGGTTCGAGCGAAACTGCATCAGATCAGACATTCTGCATGCTTCTAGCACAAAGTACATCCCTGGTTGTTGCTGGGCAGCAATTCAGGCATCCAAGTCATGCCAATCGATGAATCCACCCTGACGACCAAGGTAAGGTTTAGGGTTTAAGGTTTAAGGTGGAACCTCTGCTTAACAAGCGGTGCAGTAGCGCCGGCACCGGTTCCATGGCCATGGCGATCACCAGCAAAATCGAACCAGGGTAGTATAGGGGCCGTAACAAATAGAATAGGGTTTTGGGCTCCTTAATAGTAGACATATAATAAATAAGGAAGCTCCAAAATAGTGTAGCTAATTATCATGGCCCCTTTGCATGCTCATGCCCAGGGTCGAATTTCACCCAAAGCAGAAGATGCTGCTTCCATGGTCGCATCGAGCTCGGTCCAGTTTGTGTAGTCAGTGATGATGTCCATAGTTCATCGAAGCTCGCAAAGAAGATGTTGTCGCGGAGTGTTGGTGCGCGGATACGCTCCGTGCGAGGTTATATAGGCCCCATCTTCTTCTGGATGTCGCTCTCACGATCGGGTCCTCCCAAAGCTTCATGACGTTTTCGAGGGGTTATTGAACTGTCAGTATAGGGGTCTTACAGTTTAAACATGCTTGTAAGACATATCGCGAGGCTTTCGAAGGTTTGTAGCGGGTCTATATCCCAGCTGCATTCTTTGCAGGTTCCTCTTCGTTCTCGCAAGCTCTGCTTAGGGTTCATGCGCTCAGGCGCGATTGGGGTTTAGGGCTTCTGCGACCTGCAGGGCTTAATTTGGGCTTGCACATGGGACCACATCTTGCACTCCCAGGGAAGTGCGGGGTGGCTAATTGTTGTTCTGATGCCTCCGAAATTGACTAGACCAGCCGTAACGAATATTAATGCCGGAAGCACCCAAGCCCTAAACCCACAGGGTTCGAAACCCAAAAAAAAACATAGCGAAGGAAAACAGGAAGATACCCAACACTGCAAAGTGTTATACACACCCATACAAAACTCAATCCACCAGGGGATCCAAATGCAGAAACCTTCTAAACACCCTAAAAAGCTTTAAACCTTAAGCCCTAAAAGCCTAAACCTAAGAACCCCTGAGCCCAAGACCGTGGGACCACAGGCACCTTTGAATTAGGCTCCCGGGCAGGTCATTGCGCAGAGCCCTCCACTGCGCATCGAAGTGCGCCTGCACATGGCGAAGTCTGAAGTTTCGGGGATGAGGGGCTTAGCGCCTTAGGTTTTAGGTGATATAGGGTTTCCCACTTGGAAGGTGAAGGGTAGTGGGGCTCACGCAGGGTTGGGATCTTTCAGGATTGACCTTTTGCGAGATTGAGGCAATGTGTAACGATCACATTGCTGAGGGCTTCTTTTTGGTTTATGGCTTCAGGGTTCAAAGCCCTCGGTCGTGTAGTTAGTAGCAAATCCTGAGGGCCGATCGAGTGGAAGGTCTACGGTTAAAGTTTAAGGCAGGGCTTAAAAGTTCAAGTCCCTTTCCCGCCCCCACAACCTAAGACGTTGACCGAGACCGAGACGAAGCAACACTAGCGATACACTTGGCTTGTGTATTGTACATAATGCGCGGACACGCACAAAGCGCAAAGGTGTGCGACTGGCTGCAAGCACGCGTCCTACGATATAGTTGCACGCTGCACACACCACTGTACAGCCCCTGAACCTTGTGACACTCCATGCAATCTCTCAACCTTTAGGCCCGAAAAGCAAACTCAAATTTTCCAAAGCCCTTTACTCTTTCTGACTTTCTCTTTTTATCTGCACGCTGCCCGTCCGAGGCTGAGCGTTGCCCGGTACACTTGGGAAAACTGAATCCTAACTGTGGACAAAGGGTAAATCCACCTTTGATGTTGCCAATCCATGGAAGCTAAGTCTGGTTCGGGCGCTTTCGCATTGCACTGGGACTAGGTCTCCAAAACGCAAACCTGCCATGTTGGCTTCGGGGCTAGGCTGGACCTCCAAGATCCATTTCTGATGCGTTGGTTCTGTGGCAAGGCCTCCGCGATATTTGGTGGTCGAGGCTCCAAAAACTCGAGGCATATCCACTGTTTCCACGTCGTGGTGCAGGACACAAAACGGCCCCCTTTAACCTTGGAGGATCAAGGGACAGTGGATAGTGTTCCAGGGCACCCAAGCCATCTGAGCCTCGTGAAAACTGAAACTGATGCTGTGGGAATCAATGCCTTACCATGATTGAAAAACGTAGATCTAGATCTGCCACAACGCGAAAACTCACGCCTATGCCGGCAAACAATGCTTTTAGGTGTTTACATAATCCACCAAAACTACTTGCGGCGTGTGCCCGTTTATGAAATCCACATACAAATCCTGCTGCACAGAAACAACTCTACGAATTCCTCGGTTTTTACAGAGTAGCAGCATGCTCCAAAACATTCAAAACGTGGGCGAAAAGACAGAAAGTAAAAGCATCGCTCCTTGCTGCGCAAGATATTTGCGTGAAAACGTCCAGCCACGCCTCAAAGTTAAATTAGCCCTCGTGGAGCCGTGAAATAACGCAATGGCCTCTTGCGCGCTCTCATTCCATGCAAAGAGGCTCTCACGGCTCTCATCCCATGCAAAAAACTAACGTGACATGTCTACGAACAGCTTGCGCATTTGGAAACACCTTGCACTTCAGCTTGTGAGGGTTGTGTGGCGCAGGCTCTGGATTTGCCGAAGCCAGCCCCGCATTTCTGCATGCAGAGCCTCATTGCTTGCGGTACCCGTAGGCAAAAGCTGCAAGAAGCCAGCAGTCTGCTCTGCTCGAAAGCGCATGTTATTGAAGAGCCATTCTAATCTTTCCGGGTGAGCAGCATGCATCAAGCGCTCGTAAGTGGATTTGCCCTTCTTTTCTCCTCTACGGAGAACCTCTTCTCTGAAGATGCAGGCGATCGCTGCAAGATGCTGCAAGTGCCTCAATAAAATCCATCCGACACACAGGTCGTCTCGGCTGCAGCAAGGATTCTGCGGGCTTTCGCCTCGGACATGGTTCCGGTGCGAATTTGATCTTGTAACATGGCTTCCCTGGCACTGAGTTTTCATTCTCGCCTCGAAAGACAGGGCGCCGATGCTCTGTAGTCAAGTCTCGGTCAACTGCGCTGAACTTGCCGACGCACATGCGCAAAGCACTGGAGCCCGGGGTTCTGTGGCGGCCAGTTCCGTACTCGCACTTCATGGCGATATGGGCTGGGTCATGGCACATGATGGACAGGTCGGGCATAATGCTGCGCAAGGTTGTAAACAAATGCAGAGAAGGAGCATCGTTCGAAAGGCATTTCACTTGAGACAGTGCTGCTGGCGGTAAATGTGCTTGCAAGCACGTGGCCATGTGCTCTGCTTTCTCAGAAAAAGCTGGCATGAATGCCACAGCAGCTGCTGACCGGCCTCTTACCGTAATCACTGTTGCAATGCTGTCTCCATCAACCGGATCAGTCTTGCGCTTTGCTTGACCGGCCTTCCGCTGACCCATGAGCGGCAGTGTGCGCTTGTTTAAAGGCTTCAATGTTTCAATATTAAAGTCGTTCCTGGATCAGGCCAGGATGGCGGCCGGCCGGACCTTACGATTTAATATTTAAACTGCAGGGCGAGACTTATTATTAACTTGCGGCCCTGCGGATTAAACATTAAAGTCCCAGTCCCGGCGTGGACTTCAATATTAAAGTTCGCGGCTCGAGAAGAGAGGGCGCCGCATGGTTCATATTCTAGCTTCTTACCCCCGCGAACCCTTAAAGCCTAAACCTCAACACCCGAACACTCCGCCCATAGCTGCACATTTCGCCGATGGCACACCTGTTACTACAGTTGACACAGTCAAGTACCTTGGTGCCACTGTTAGTTGGACCCACACCACTAAGCAAGCTATTGAAGCACGAATGCAAAAAGCTCGTTCTGCCTACATGAAGCTACAACACTTGTGGAGAAGTAGATTTTGTCTGAAGTCCAAAACCCGCCTATATCATTGATACGTCTTGCCAGTTCTTCTTTACTGCCTTCAAGAACTAACCTTGGAGGACAAACACCTCCGCACGATTGACGGTTGGTATTTTCGGTATCTGCGCAGGTGCATGGGTATCAAAGTGTCGTACTATTAAGGAATACCCAACCAACGAGTCTGGATCAATGCTGGATGCCCTACTTTACCCACACAAACCCTTCTCTTCAAGCAACAATCCCGATTAATTAAAAGTGCGCTGGCTACTCCGCAAGATCCTTTACACCATGTCATTTTCAGCCCAGGATACAAACACAGAATCAAATTCTCGAAATCCAAGAACAGAGGCCACCCACGACAGTATTGGTTCGATATAGTCTCCAAACAGGCGATTAAATTGGCTGAAAGTTTTGACCGCTGGACTTGATCGCCCTGGAACAGCGTATTGATGAGGTCAAGGATGGACTCCAAGCTTTGCTGATGATCATGAGCTCCTGGCCGTTGCCGTAAATTTGCCACCTCCTGTTGCAGTTCACGAAGCACCCTGTCCCGGAGTTGACGCACCGACTGCTCCTCCGGGATTTCCTGCGCGCGGTCCAGCGGCACACCACAAGCCTTCCTGGGCCGCGTCCTCTCCTGCAGGTTGGTTGCCAGGAACAGACTAATCCAGAAGCAAGCTTCGCTGGCGTACGCCGGCATGACCCTGTAACGCCGGGAGGGCTGCACCGCCTCGACTGCTGTGGGCATCCAATGTCAAGGACCGCACATCTATTGGATCAGCATCCAAATCCAACAAGTGGAAGTTTTCACCCAGGCCGCGGCGTTGTGCGAAATGCACATGCATTTGCAACGGAGCACTAGGGTGCAGGTCCCAAACCTTCTAGGTTCCTGCGGCGACAGTGCCGTAGCAAACCTTGATGAAAATGTGCGGCGCTCCAGGGTAGCGCTCGCAACACTGTTTGCTGCAGGCAATGTCCGCGTCAACGGGCGCAGCCTGGAGCCCCATGTGCTCCGTGCGGATGGTGCCAATCCACACATAGCCCTCCTCCACACGCTCCAGCATGGCCGTGTGGGCAGTGTTGGCCACGAGCTCCTTGGAGCTGGAGATCAGGATGTTAGTCACTCGGAACCCGCTGGGACGCTTGCCGAGGAGCACACCGTGGGTGTCCTGACCAGCGGCCGCCTGCCGAAATGTGGCAAAAGCACCGGGGTGCAAGTAGATGGGCCGCGAAGGGTGTTTGGGGGGCTTCAGCTCCGGCTTGTGGAAGAATGAGTCGTGAATGTCCGTGCCTCCAACAGCGTCGGCTGGCATTGCTTGCTGCTCCGCTTGGACCTCATCCGGGTGGTTGTTGGTTAAAGTGTTCTCACAGTACGCACATGCTTTTCCGCAGCAAGCTTTTTTGAAATGCCTCCCTGGTGGCAGCCTTCGTGGTCATGGTCTTGATGTTGAAGGGTTCCAAGATGGCTGTGCGGCCTGCTGCATTCGGGCAGGCGTCAAATGCCGTCGTGAAGTCCTGCAACTTGGCCAAGAGATGCTTCGCACCTTCAATGGCTGCATCCCTATCCGCGGCACCTCGGAAGGGGAAGTTCCGGGATATGCCAACATCCACCTGGGCCCGGATATGCTTCGCCAATGTGTGAACAGAGCCGCCCGGCACATGCAACACTTTTGGGAGTGGTGGTGTTGGCATGCAGGTGGCTCCGCTGTGACCGGGGCGGCGGTGCGCAGGCTGGCTACCGCCCTGGCTTGTTGCAGCTGGAGTATGGCTTGAGCTCTCAGGTTAGCAATGTAGGTTTGGCGCTGGCCCCATGCGCGCATGACCTCCCTGGAAGCAGCAGCTTCAGATTGGCCTAGATTCTTGTCCGGATGCACTTGTCGCTAACGGGATTTGAGGGCGGCTTTGAAATCGGCTTCCGTGTATTGCTGCATGAGCGTGCACCTCCGCACACGGTCCTCGGGACGGGTGCAAGTTGCCAGCTTTGGCTCCAGATCCAAGACTTCAAGCAGTCCGCAGCGGTTGCAGCTTGGAGGACTTCTTCCACGGCTGCCATTGTTGAAAGCTGGAGCTAGCTACGCAGCCAACGAAACCCAATGTTGCAGCTGCTACAGGGGTTCGAGGAGCCTGCATGTAAAGACAGCGACCGCAACCCTGAATGCATCCACTCGAAGAAACATGTGCGTGGATTTCTGCTTATCCGGATGTGTCCCCACACGGGTGTTTCAAGCAAGCATGAAAAAGTGCACTGTTTGCTGGACCGGCATGACACGTTGGCGACCATCAGCTTGCAAAACCGACATACACGTGTGTGTGTGTGTGTGTGTGCGCCGAGTGAAGCAACTGGTGTGCGGACTCAGGAATTTCTTGGTGTAAAACACCTCATACATAAACACGAAAGCTTTCGCTCGCATCGATCTGCTGGCTGCGCCGATGCGCAACGCTGAATCGTTTAAATTTCTTAGCAGAAAAGTGGGTGGCGCATGGCGGACTTAAAAAAGCCTAAACCATTGTGAACCTAACCCCCTAAACCCTGAACGGCCCCAAACCCCTAACCCGCTGCAACCCAAGCCTCGGTCCGGCGGAGCTCCGACTCCGCCGCTCGAGGCCCCGCATTTTCGAGGCCTGGGGTTC